TCTATGCTTCACAGGAAAAAGTAAAACCCTTACGACTATTGAAGTGAAATTATGATGCTAGCAATGCCATGAACATATCTGTACATAGATGTTATAATGTATGTCTTTGTTATATATTCACATATATAATCTGATATATATATACTACAAAATTAATCGCAGCTGGAACGTAAGACATGCCGATAATGCAATAATGGAACCAAACGAATGAACAGCGAGAATGTTTGACATTCAAACGGTGGATTCGCGACCACTACGGGTGATCGGATTCCCCGGACTCATGAGGTTAAGCCTCTAATGAGTAAAAAATAAATAAAATAAAAAATGTCGGGGGATTAATGCGATATTGCAAGTTAGCTGCAGCTTTGAAGTCATGTGTTCAAAGCCTGTGGAGAATTTACTCTGTATATATTCATGCCAAGTAGACACATTTCACTACAAGCACTTAAGCACATCTCACAGTGGCACTTATTTTCAAGCGATGCAATTGTGTTCATGATCCAGCGGGCCATTGTCAGAAACATCGTAAAATTAATGCTATTGTTAACGCTAATTTTGTTTCTAACAACGGGCCTCTGAGCAGGTAGTTGAGTATATTACGTTTTCACAGGTGGCCAGCAGAGCCCTTCAAATTCCCATTGATAAGATCCACATCAATGAGACGAGTTCTAATACAGTTCCAAATGCCATAAGCACAGGTGGAAGTTCAGGCACCGAGTTATTTGGCGGTGCTGTTTTGGTGAGTCAATCAGGTGGTGAATCTGTTTGTGTTAGCTTTTGTAGTTTATAGAATGGCAAGATCATCTACCTATCTGTCAGTCCATGTGTGTATATACATGTTCTCGTCAACAATAGTGGCACAAATTGAAATGGCTTCAATTATGGTTTTTATGTTAGACACGTAGAGGGATGATCATTAAAAAGTATATGATCAAATGGAAGAATGAGAAGTGACTATCCATCATATATGAGTATTGACATGCTGTAGCTATATTATGTTTTTGTAACATACTTTACATCATCGGTACCACTTAAATGTTATTCCAAATGTTTCTTCACATTTAGAATGCTTGTGAGATCATCAGGGAGCGAATAGATCCATTCATGAGACAGAACCCAAGTGGCTCGTGGGAAGATTGGGTGAGTTAATTTACAAGCGTTTAAATGTACAAGACTAAATTAATGTTGAATAGAATTTACAAAGACATTGCGTGATGAAGATGAGAATAGTGATGAACTATATAAAGTGTTCATGCATGTGTGGGGTGCATGTGGGGCTGAATGGGTATTCTCTCTTGCAGGTTGAATCGGCTTACCTTGACAGAGTGAGCCTCTCAGCGACAGGGTTTTATGTCCCAGAGGGCTCAGAGGGTTACGACTTTGACACGCACACCGGCAATCCTTACACCTATCACACTTTCGGAGCTGCCTGCTCACACGTGGAGGTTGATTGTATCACAGGAAATCACGTGGTATGCACCCTTCGCGTTATAACTTGCATGAACTTTACAGTTATCATCAGCTTTGCAGTGAGTAAATGGCGGTGGCGTGGTTATATGTACAAGTTCTAGCCGAGTGTGGTAGATGCATATTTCCAGGTGTTAATAATGACAAAATAATAATGACAAAATAATGTCATTATTAACCCCTGATATTTGTAATGTTCTAGAACTGTGTCAGTCATACTTCCGAAATCCAAAACTGTTTTATAATGGTAAAATGATTATTACAGCCGATAAAATGATAAGTTATGTCATTCTAGCAGTTATTGTACAACATTTACATGGAACACTCTTTCATTTTGCATTAGCCTCGCTTTTATAGGCAACTCTTGATCAAATTATACTAAAGTCTTTACCAGCGTATATGGTATATTTAATTAAAATAAAACGTACGTACTACAGCCTGATATTTCTTCTGATAATATCTGTTAATGATCTTATTCAGATTCTGAGAACAGATATCATGATGGACGTTGGGAAGAGTCTGAATCCAACTATAGACATCGGGCAGATAGAGGGCGCTTTTGTTCAAGGTTGTGGACTGGTGACACTAGAGGAGCTGCGATACACAGCAGATGGCTTCCTGTGCACTCGTCACACTGGCAACTACAAAATACCAGGTAGCCATATATTGTGCTTTAGTAACAGGGTTCCCATGACAAAACTTAATAATGGAGTATTGACGGAAGGGGCTGATGTTTTAGATCAAACTCTGTCGTAATGTATATGCTTTTGGTGTATACGTTGTCTCTGCATGTTCTGTATAGGTGTCAGTGATGTACCAGTGGAGTTTAACGTTGCACTACTGCGTAACTCGGAGAACCCTCGTGCTGTATATTCATCAAAGGTATGTTACACGAATGTATCTGTTGTTCATGCAACTTTTAAAGAGCGTCGATTTTAATAAGTATATATAATCGTAGCAAACATTTTAACTTGATTATAATTGGCACTTGGAATAGCTCTAGTTGTGGAGATTTCAGGGGGGGAGGGATGAAGAGTTGTGGAGATTTCAGGGTTCAACAGCAACAGAGATAGAACGTTCCCCTAGCGACAGGTAGAAAGTTTTCCCCAACGAAACAGACAAGCGCGGGGGAGGTGGTCCCATATAGCTACCAGATGTAGGTGCGAAAAATGATCCCGACACAAATAAATTACACGTGCTAACCACAGCACGCGTGAAAGTCCAGTGTGGCCACCTCTAGGGGCACTACAGTAGTATATTGTGTACATCCACCACTGTCCACGTGCTACACAAATAAATAAAAATAGAAATGCGTCGTAGATTACGCACAGATATTACAACATATTTATGCTTTTATTATTCTCTGAAAGAGTTCTTCTGTTTCTTTTGTAGGCGATTGGAGAACCACCATTGCTGCTGGCCTCAACAGTTTTCTTCGCCATTAAAAATGCGATCGGAGCGGCAAGAGAGCAGGAAGGAGTTTCTGGTAGCTTCCAATTTGACAGCCCAGCAACTGTAGAGAACATCCTTCTTGCGTGTCCATCTACACTGCTGCCATCTACAGCTGGAAGTCGTGCATCTTGAGTTCTCTCCTATACAATATTTTCTACTATACTCATTTACACAAGCTATTGTTATAATCTTTCTATATCTATAAGTAAACCATGCAGTTTGATAATAATTCCCTAATCTTGGATAAAACAAAAGTATATCATCTATTGAAAACTTGATATGAATTGTATTTTTTAAAGATTTTTACTGTATTTTTGAATTTTTCCTATACACCTATTGAGCTATAAATTAAAGGCAACATGGTGTGATGATGAAATATGAATAATAAAGGATAAACATACACGTATGTTAAACACATGTTCGTGATGTTTTCAGTGTGTATTTTGGTATGAAATATTTCATACTACAGCTGGGAATTCACACTTCCAACTTTTATTCAGAAAGTTAAGGAAAGTTGAGAAGTTGACAAACTTTCTGTCTAAAAGTTGAAAGTTTGAACTCCTTGATGGTAGTAGTAGTAGTAATACATAAAATTGATGGGAGTGATACATTGTAATGCCAATGGTGACATTGGTGAGAGCTTGGTATATATGCAGGCAGTTGATCCTGCTCTGTTCTTCATACAGTCTATCAATTACTTAATTATCACTTGTACTGGGCCATTACTGTTTCAAATATAAACCTACCCTTTTGCACAAGTCCACATGTTCTGATTTTCTTAATAACCGTCTCATATTCCTTCTTATATTTCCTTTATTATGATGTCCTCCCCCTTGTCACAATCACTATGCCAGCCACTACAGTGAATAAAAATAAATTTAGTCGTTTTACACCTAATAACATAAACGAGGAACGTATAAATATAATTAAATACATATAATCATATATAGTAATATAAAATATAAATGTAGAAGGCCAATTTTGGTTTCGCCATAGATGTATACAAACGTATAAATTATTGTTTGTATCAATATAGTTCGTATCAAACGTTTGTATCAATATAGCTATGGTTTCACGTGTATTTTTACTCTGATTTTTATCAGCGCCAGTAGATGGCACTGCATGTTAAAATGGCTGCCTCCAATTCGGCGGTAAATTTAGGTATATTTCATTTATTGTACTATTTCCATGATATTACCATATTTATGGTGTAGTAAATTTAAATGTAGTATTTAATAGAGTAAATAGATTTTGTTGTAACAGTATTGGCATTGTAATTTTTAATGTAAGTAAAGTTTGAGGAAAATGTCGAATTACTGGAAAAACAACAACTTCATTAATACAACTTCAACTATATTATTATTACGTTGTTGCTGCTGCAACGGTACCGTCGCCGATTTTTTTTCTCTTAAAGTCACGGTACTGACGCCTGATTGGTTGAGCTAATTTGTTTCACACTACATGCCGTCCCAGCCGCCCAGGGGCGTAAAGTATCATGGGCAAGTGACATCGCTCATAAACAACATGGGGTCATGGTTAGGGTTAGGGTTAGGGTTAGGGTTAGGGTTTTATTTATTTATTTATTTATTTATTTATTTTACAAATTTATTTATAGCAACGGTAGTTATTATTCGCCGATAGATGGCGATCGCATCACTACCGTGACTTTAAGAGAAAAAAATTCGGCGACGGTACCGTTGCAGCAGCAACAGCCTTATTATTAACAACTAATAGTAATGCTCATAGGGTCTATGTCCCCCAGGGTACTGCCGGAACGTACCCTGGTCACTATTTGATATGGTTAGGGTTAGGGTTAGGATTAGGGTTAGGGAGTAGGCGTAGGCGACTCCCTAGACTCGTTAGTGCCATAGTGGAGTAGGCGAGGTACGGTTCGGCATATCAGATAGTACCAGGGTACGTTCCGATATATCGAACCGTACCCAGGGTACGTTCCGGCAGTACCCTGGGGGACATAGACCCTGGCAGCAATAGTAATACTAATAGTAATACTGTACTGAGTAATACTAATAGAGTAATAGTATTAGTAATACTAATGCTTATAGCCATAGGGTCTATGTCCTCCAGGGTACTGCCGGAACGTACCCTGGGTACGGTCGGGTATACCGGAACGTACCCTGGTAACTATTTGATATGGTTTACTGGTTAGGGTTAGGATTATGGTTAGGATTAGGGAGTAGGCATAGGCGACTCCCTAGAAGCTGCGACTAGGGGCAGCGCGTCTCCCAAGTCCGAAAGGCGCTGAATTATTAGTATTATTATTTTTTTGAATTAGGGATAGGGTTAGGGTTAGGATTACGACGGATTAGGGTTAGAGTTAAGGTTAGGGTTAACTGATTTTTATATCCACAACTTATACTAATAATGCGCCATCTAACGAATCACTATCTCTCCCCTGAGACCTACTATTTCGGACTTGGGAAACGCGCTGCCCCTAGAGGCATTCCTCCCTAGCCTCGTTAGTGGAGTAGGTGAGGTACGGTCCGGCATATTAGATAGTACCAGGGTACGTTCCAGCAGTACCCTGGGGGACATAGACCTCAGCAATACTAATAGTAGTAATTAACTAAAAACATGCATCGATAGCATAGCCCGACATCACTGCCAGCAGAACTGATCTCTGAGCAGGTTAAGACAGGATATTTCGGTAGTATAAGTAATATATAATGTTAAATATAATAAGTTGCCCGGAGCTTCCACATTAATAAACATCATACATAGGTACAACTTCCGAACATGCATGTTCCCCATTTGAAAGTTGCCATTGATTTATAACATGTAATAATGTATGATGTATAGTGATGTCCCGATGATCGATTATAATCGAAAATCGATCGATTATAGTCTCAAATTCGATAATCGATTATGAAAACAAATAATCGATTATCGGAAATACCAGAACAAACAAACAAGGAACTGTACTCACGATGTGTGAATTGATATGACAAGTAGAGCACAAGTCCTGCAGGGGCCCGTTGTTAGAAACATCGTAAAGTTAATGCTACGATAATACTTACGACTAATGTTAATGCTACGAGAGTAGCGTTGACAGAAACACATCGTAGCTACGGCACTTACTTACTATAGTAAAGAACAAGTCTTGTTCATGTTTGTTTAAAATTTTTAATGTTTTAATAAAGGCATTTAAACCATTTCTTTTTAAATTGATTAAATACCAGCGTGAGAAACTAGCGGTCGCCCAGTCGCCAATGGCGATTAGAAAATCGACCGGGCGACTGCTTGCTCGTGTCAGCTGGTCCGGCGGGGCGACTAGATAATCGCCGCACAGGAAATAAAAAATTTACCAAACTGAGGCCATAATAAAAATGTTGTTTGTTTGCCCTCACCCGACCGACCCGCATCCCAGGGCCATGTTCATTATTACATATGTAGTGGGTGGCCGGGCACCGCTGGTATGAGAGCGCGACAGCAACTTTCCTGGAATTGGAAATCGCTATATTATAATTTAGATATTAAATAACTTAATTATGGATCTAACTCTGACAGATTAACTTCATTTTCCTTTCCAAAGACTAATATGTGCTAAGAATTAAGATATTTATTATTTCTTAATTCAAGTTCCTTTTATTTTTAATGCTTTTATTTCCAGATTACGTGTATATGTGTGCGTGCGTGCGTGCGTGCGTGCATGCGTGTGTGATCTGGAAATAAAATCATGCACAATTTAGCTCTGATGAACACAAGCTGTTAAAAGTATTTTATATGTATATTGTATCACTGTACAATGTACATTATATAAATCTGTAGGCAAACATAAAAAGTATCTCCACACAAGCACACCTGAGCACGTAGACACCATTGCTGAATTTGTAAAAAGACCCCCCTCAAAAAAAAGCCAACCTATCTACCCACACTTTTCAGCCGGGGTCGGGTGAGGGCAAACAAAATATTGTTTAATTGTTGCCTGATTATATTGTTATTCTCTACTAATCTTCTACATTATTCTAATGAAATGAATGGTAAATTTAATCAAATATAGACTGAAAATAGTCAAATTCCGAAGCCTAAAGTCCATGCGAAGTACACAAACTCTCCATGTTTGTTGTGTTCGATTTTCTAGGTCATGCTGTTAAACCTCTGCTAATTCGATAATACTGGACATCCCGACCAAGCAGCGATCGCGAAATAAAATATGATAATTTATAAGAATACTGGACGGTCTTCAGAGACCGCTGATCTTTGAAACCGACTTGCGGACTTGTTCCGATTTACTACGCATCAGTGTATCGAAACGAGTAAAAAATATAATTTTTAAGAATACCTTAGAATGCACATCACCAAATTGCACCATCTCCCCTATAAAAACGTCCCCACATCCAAGTCATTCACTTTGCTATGACAGAAATCCTGGACCAGTGCCTACTGACCAGGACCAGTACTTCCTCAGAGGCACTGGTCCTGCAGGACCAGTGCCTCCAATTATCAGTTTTTCACCCTGAATACGGTATAGGAACAGACATTTAGACATTGATATACATACAGCAACCTTCACAGAGTTAATACATGATCATAAAACATGATAATATTGAATGCTATGTATAATTGTATATACAAAGTAAGATTAAATTAAATCTATGCTATTAATCCTATTATTAACCGATTATCCGATTATAATCGATTATCGATCGGTTACGGGAAACCGATAATCGATTATGAAATTCCAGCCGATTCCCATCACTAATGATGTAGCATTGTAGGTTCAATACATACTGATTCAGTTTTTAATTACCTGTTTCAAAGGTGCACGTCTGTGGACACCATACAAAGATCTAAACAGCATCGTGGAAAATGCCATTCTTCTGAAAAGACCCTATGTTATACATGATCTGGAGGTTGCACTCAGACGTCACAAACCTGATTTTCTGTCTCTGCTACAGAATCCTGTACGTTAACGTATATGTTCACATATATGCTTTATATATCTTACTATATCTACATTTTGTGTGTGCCCAAATGGTCAGCATCTATGCCAATGATATCACACTAGCATGATACTAGTACTACTACTAGTCTATATCTATAATGTATACAAGTGTACATATATATGCTCATGGTAGGGGGTATTGTTTAGCCAAAGTGTGTTACCGTGTTACAAAAAAATTCGTCTAAGAATCTTTATAAATTTACCCCGTGATACCTCTAGGCTCTATATACATGCATTGATGTATGAATCCTAGCTAATAAACGATTGTGTATGCCAATGGCAATTTCAGACAAAAAACCCAGCTCACAGGGAAATGGTGAAGAATGCAGCGAAGGAAGGTTTACCAATCGAGGGCCAGAAGGGATCGCAGCTGCTCAGCAGTCACCTGATCGAGGAAGCACTGATCATCAGCGACCTGTTCAACCTTAACGAGATAGCTGCCGTGGAATTGCTCCTTGCAGGTCCAGCTTCTAACACTATGAACTAGAAAGTCGGAGAAAATACGGACTAAACACGGAAATGGTGCAAAACGCACGGGCAGCTACGGAAAATTACCCAGCTAATTACTGTCCGTGGCAAAATATACGAACTCCTACGAAATAACGGCGAACTCCTACGAAATGTATACAGACTGCCAATTAACTCTGATATCGGCGAGTCCGTGTTTATTAGGTACAAACTTCGTACATTTGCCAGCCAGCGTGATAGCCCGAGCTATCAGCACCTGTTATCATTCCGCTGCATCAAAACCTCGTGCTGCTGGTCTGCGGGTGCCTCGCTGGCTAGCAAATGTTCGAAGTTTGTACGTAATAATCACGGACTCGCCGATATCAGACAGAGGCAAGTCCGTATACATTTCGTAGGAGTTCGTCGTTATTTCGTAGGAGTTCGTATATTTTGCTACGGACAGTAATTAGCTGGGTCATTTTCCGTAGCTGTCCGTGCGTTTTGTAACGTTTCCGTGTTTAGTTCGTATTTTCTCCGACTTTCTAGTTCATAGTGTAATATGCTTCGAGCGGTTGGCCAGAATTAATTAGAAAAACAGCTTTACATAACGTGTTAGTTGTTAGGTTTACTTTTGAAGATAACATTGTTACTTATACTTTGTGCAAACATTTTTGAATTTGAATGTTCGAATATAAGTTGTGTATTTCTATCGACTATTCTCTACGATTATAAGTACACTTCAATCAAGTCACTTACAGTTACAATTCAAAAGTCTGTTTGTCTAAAAACTATTGTTCGGTTTTCAAATGCAGGAGAAACACAGTTATCGAGTTTTCCTGGTCTGAATCGCGGCCTAGTAGCTGTCTTGCTTTACTATGACGGCCGCTCAAGCCTTGTTGGCGCTCTCAAAGCCCTTATTCAGTCACGGGAGGGCAAGACTTGGACACTGGAACTTGGAGCCGAGCTGGTTACGATGACAGTCCGTTATACAGACCAACTGATGGAGGAAGGTCTAACTGGGAAGATTCTAGGTGAGATAATTTGTTCTCTTGAGATGTAGGGAACGTTTTTTTGAGAACTTTATGTATTTTAATGATTTTGATGGTTTAAGCTGTTGCTGCTTGTAAAGTCCACTTGTCTGTGTGACAGTAATTTAAATGTCACATTGCCCATACAAGCATTTTGTCTGGTAAAGTTGTAATGTAGGAATTTGTCTTTTTGTGTTTACCAATGTTTGAATGAATATCCGTTTGCTTATTGCAGGTTTATTGAGTTCACTGGATTTAACCAAAGAAATTAACAAGCTACACGAAGACAGAGGGCTTGGCAGTCCACGTCACAGAAAGCAGGTAAGGAACTCCACTGTAGCTTGCATAACATTACCGGCAAAACAATCAAACTGCAAATACAGTTAAAATCTGATCTGTTTGTCGACAAAAAGGAAAATACTAACCCTAAAATAGTACTAAACTATGGTGGTTTTTAGCTCACCTTGACATCATCAAGCTGAGTTATTGCCATGGGTCGTCGACCGTCGTATGTTCGTCTTTCCGTCAACATTTGGCTACGGTCAACGATAAGTCAATAACTCAGGAACCGTTTGACCCACATGTTTGAAATTGGGTATAGTTGTTACTGCTATGCTCCCATATTGACCGTCCTATTTTGGAGCACGCCAGTCGACCTACTTTCAAGCCACGGCAATTTTTTGGCAAAAATGGGAATTGCCATTAGTCAGTTCAGGTTCAACGGATTTTGCTCACTTTTGGTATGTGAATGAATAAGGGCTAGGGGTTTTGATATTTTATTTTTTTTATGCAATTTAGGTAGGTTTTGGCAATTATATAGCATATTATATAGACACGCAGATAACAGCCTGTGGTGTCACACTCGTCTGGTTCGTTTTACAAGATATCCAATTTTTGCGATATACAGATGGCAACCGTGTGCTACCGCCTAGAAAAACTCATACGAAGTAAACACTTCCATACAACCAATTAACCTTTGACAAAAGTTGTGTTATGGGCAGGGAAACACAATTGTCACGTGGTATATACCAGCTACGTGGAATAAGCGTGTCCTCTCAATCTTACACGTTACACATCAGGAGCTCCGCTTTTAGGCAGTGCCTAAATCTGAATATTATAAAAACGTTAAATGGTGATCATTTAGGTGTAACGCCATCACTCGCCCACATCTCAGACTTTCACATCTCAAACATTTATTTTCACATAAAAAATTACACATATAATTATCAAGAATATATAATGGGAGTTCTCGCATATATACTCTTTGTTTCTATAATGTACGTCGATGGTTGCTCAATTAAAACTGACTTCTTCTCACTCGCTCATTTGTGTCCTTTTTTGTGGTGAGCTACAGTGCCATTGACACTTTTTATTTCCTCTTGACAGGATTTATATTGCAAGTTACCTTCCTCTTAGGACAATCACCATGACAACTAAACTTTGTCACTCACTGAATACAACTACCTAGTTTGTTGACCCCAAATTGACCTTTCATGTTAGGGTTTTACTTTGTTTCGATGTCCACTAGGTGTTAGATTTGATGAAGGAGATTCGTCAGCAGCTTGCAGACTGTCTTCTCTGGTGGTCCTGCGGCCAGACACCGTTGGATAAGCACAACACTTTACAGGTACCAGTAAACTGTCTTTGCATACCACAGAATTTAAATTTGTGATGAATCCACAATGTCTTACTGGAGTTACAATTTCTAATTATATTTGTATCATAGCGAAGTCAAAATGAAAAATTGAAAAAAAAATTGAAATTAAAATGATTTAATCTCGTGTTTCTACTTAGATTATCAATAATATATTCTACATGAAGGTGTTTTTGTAAAATTGTAGGTGTGTAATTTAACACTTGATTGTTCCTCAGTTGCTTTCCCATATGAAAAAGGACAAATGTCTGAGTGCAGATGGTTCATTGGAATCCAGCACCCTAGCTTTGCTTATGGCTTTCCTCTACTGCATTGACGTGAGTGTACTGGAGCAAGCTGAGGATACAGAGGGTGAGTGTGAGGTGCTGAGAGACTTTAGACTCGTAGTTAGGAAACATAGTCAACAATTGTGACCCTAATACTTAGTAAATAGTAATTGTATTTTAAGATAAAGATTTTGAAACGTTGTCAGGTTAAATGAAGTTTCATTTTCAGTTACCAGGTGGTAGTTAATGACTGTTGCCAAAACTGTCAGTAACAGGGCAACATATTTAGACATATCTTAATATAAAACTTCTTTAACCTATATCACAAAAACCGATGAACTAACTACAAAGGTGAAGTGTTCCTGTGGTCTAGCAAGACTGAAATCACTCTCTAAATATTTTAGGTGTCCTCGAGAAGTTGCCGATACTCGCCGATGCCGGATTCGTTCCCGCTCTGCACAAGGAGATCCTAGCTGAGTATCGATGGGAATGCACAGAGTTGAAGACCATCGTGCAATTTGCCTGGGGAGTCACACTGCGTGTACTCTCTCAGCATCCAGCCAGCCAAGGTAGCCGGTGTAATGTGCAATTCTAGGACTACTACCCCCTGGACAACTACCTTCCCCCCGGACAATTACCTCCCTAGGACAACTACCACCCGGACAACTACCCCCATAGGGCAATTACCCTCCTAGGACAACCCTAACCCTAACCCTAACTCTAGGGGGGTAGTTGTCCGGATGGTAGTTGTCCGGGGGGTAGTCATTCGGATATGGTAATGTGCAGTCTGCTGGTCAGGAATAAAATGCGCGTAGTTGTGCTATTAGTGTCTTTTAAACCCAGAATAGGTGAAATGTGGATGCTACGGGATTCATACGTGACCTGGATTACCGGGCAGATCCCAGAATTTTCAATATATCATATTTCTGGTTTGGAAATTCTCTGAAACTTAAAACTCTTGGAAAAGAGGGTATTATTACATTTGGTCCTATGTAATCCTTGAAAGTGTACTCATATCTGTCTTTATCATATATGAGAAGTAGAATTAAATTCATGCAAGAGTTCACTAATCACTGGTTGCACAATACAAAGTACAAATATTGTATTCAGTTAAAATCTCACAGTCGTTGAAAATGGCAATTCTAAGTCCTAAAGACTAAAAAAAAGATATTTTTATTTGATGATCAAAAATTATTAGGTTTATGAAGTTTACCTGTATGAATGTAATGGGTTACATTGCATGCAGGTGTGAGCATGTTAAAGGCAATCACGTGTCTAAGTAGCAGTCTTGGTCATGTTGCATGACACATGTTCGTGCAAGAGTTTATTCACTAATAACTGGTTGCGCAATACAAAGTACGAAGATTGTACTCAGTTACACTCACTGACGTTCAAATTGAATTCTAAGTCCTAAAAATTTCAATATCTTCTTGTGTATGATAACGTTTTTATTTGATGATCAAAAATAATTAGGATTATGTTTACCTATATCAGTATGAAACCTGATTGGGTTTACAAGTAGTAAGCAGCTAAAATTACCAGTAGAATCCGAGATGCCAACCACTACGATTTATCCGTATTTTATACGAATTTCTATTCCTTTTGCACCACTACAACCAGTTTGTATCAAACTACGAATTTCACTGTGATCGAAAAAAATAATTTTTTTTTAAATTATTGTCATTTTTTACCCTCAGAATGCAGGAAATTGCATCTCAGAATCAAATTTTTTCCGGGGGGGCATGCCGGACCCCCCTAGCAAACTCGGGTCACTACGTGACCCTCGAACTACTAATTTGATGGCCAGAAACTACAGATTGCTTCAAATATGTGTTGGCATCTCTGAGTAGCATGCAGGTAAATGTGCGAGCATGTTAAAGGCGAACGCGTGTCTAAGTTGCAGTCTTGTTGTGTGATGACTCATCGCAGGTCTGAATGAGTTCCTGGAGGAAGATGAGAATGTCGTGAACAACGTGATTGACAACGGCGTGTTCCTCATGCTGAACAAACTGCTCGTGTCGGTTCCTGGCTTTCACCAGGAGGAGATGTACATGCGACGAATGCACACGCTCGTTACCGACTTCATATCACTGATGCCGCTCAAGGTAGATTAAACTTCAGTCAAACCTGTGTAGAAGGGTCGCTCAAGGGAAACACTAAATCTGTCCTTAATAGACAGGTGTGTGTTGTGTATAGGTAGTTTCGTTGTAAAGGGAGGCAGTGACAGTGTCCTTAATAGTCAGGTGTGTGTTGTGTACAGGTAGTTTTGTTGTAAAGGGAAGCAGTGACAGTGTCCTTAATAGTCAGGTGTGTGTTGTGTAC